CATTAAGGGTCCGGATATTCCAGGTGCATACCCTTAAATCATAGTCCTTTATACGTTTGCCGTGGTCGTCATGAGAAAAAGGGGGTCTCATCCGAGGCTGTTTGCTTCTTTTCATTGGGCGGGGTTTTAACGTGGCGGGACCCAAACCCAGCGTACGCGAAGTTTTACGCCTTCTCACTTTAGCTCGCTCCCAAACGGGTGTTTGGTTGCTACCCAGAGGATACGTGGATATAAATATCCGGACGTTGTGAGCTGCGATTTGAACCGTACGCACAAGAATCGCTTCTGGCTACTCCCAGGTGAATGGCAGTCAAAAGTTTTCCACTTCTGCGCACGGAACCATCCTCCAAATTTTTATACCTGAATCCCCTAGAAATTCCGATGTTATGACTACATCTTATACGCTTTTGGTAATTGATCACGAACGAACAAGGCCATTTCCAATTTTCCATTTGAGTAAAATTTAGAAGGTTATGGGCGTGTTTCTTTATTCATTCCAAAAGTTCGGAAGAAAATTTTCTGTTTACTTATTCATTAGAACGTTCCGGAGAATATCGTACGGGATAATTCAAACGCATTATTTTCATTCCATCTTTAGCACGGAATTCATAGAATATTCTGCTGAACAGCATGAATATAGAGGCGCTAGAGAAACCAAGTACGTTTTTGCAAAATTGTTTTACGAAAAAAACCTTTAGGGAATTAAATTAAATATTACTAAGCACCAAAAGATTATTTTCTGGCTGGTTACTAATATTTTCATTATTTTCTGTTTCTTTATTCCGGAGTTCCAAATTTTTTCATGTATTAGTAAATTTAAGATGCTGAGCTGAAAAATGCGTGTTTTTCTTATATACAATTTCTTATGTCTAGTGATTTTAGCTAATAAATTAGTAAAATATGCACATGTAAGATAAAAAAGTAATTTTAACTGATATTTGTTGAGCTAAAAGTTACATCACGTGATATTTATTATTTTATGGTTAGGTGGGTGCATTTTTATAATGTATTAATCATTTGTCGGAACCGGAAGAATCGGACCACTATAACATATAGCTCCCATACAACTGATTGTTCAGATATGAGATTTTTCGTTATAACTTCTCCATTTATGCTGCTAGGAACATGAAATTTTGCATTACTTCTACCCATTATCAACAGAAAACTTAGAGTAACAATTACAAAGATCGGGGTACTATAACCTATAGCTCTCAAACAACTGATTGTTCAGATATACGGTTTTTCGTTATAACTCCTCCATTAAAGTATTATCAAAAGAATACTTTCAGTGAAAATGGCGAAGACCGGGTCGGTACAACCTATATCCACCATACAACTGATTGTTCAGATATGAGAATTTTTGCCATAACTTCTTCATTTATACAGCTAGAATCATCAAAATTCGCAACGTTTTAACTAATTACTAACAGAATACTTACAGTGAAAATATCGGGTCACTATAACATATATCTCCCATACAACTGATTGTTCAGTTATGAGAATTTTCGTTATAACTCCTCCATTTATGCACCTAGGAACATGAAATTTTGCAATACTTCCACCCATTAACAACAGAATATACAGTGAAAATAACAAAGATCGGGTCACTTTTACATATAGCTCCCATACAACTGATTTTTCAGATATGCAATTTTTTGTTATAACTACTCCATCTATGCGGCTCGAAACATGAAATTTCGCACTATTTTCACTCATTATCAACAGAAAGTTTACAATAAAACTAACAAAGATCGGGTCACTATAACCTGCTTATTGCCCCCATACAACTGATTGTTCAGATATGGGGTTTTACTGTAAAACTCCTTTATTTGGACAGCTAAAACCGATAAATTTCGTAAGCTATTTTTTAAATAATAATACAAAGTCTACTGAGAAAATCGTCAAAATCTATGCTGTATAATCATAATCTCTTGTACCACTGATTGTTCAGATACCAGTTTTTGCGATATATGTATCTCCTTTATGTAGGAAGCTAAACCCCTTAAATTGTGTTACCGGTTTACGTACCGATCACACAGTAGTGAAAATCACTTGATTGGTGCTATATAAGGTATATCTTCCATCCCTTTGATTGTTTAGATATGATTTTTTATATATGTATCTCCTCTATCTATGCCTGCTGTGAATATATAAATTTATTCAAATGCAGTAATCTGTTAAAGTAAAATTTTCAGATGCTCATGAAAGGTATGAAGTCTTCGGCATAGCCGAAGACAGCGCTGCTCTTACTTGTTTCTTAATATAATTGTAATCTAATACTCCTTCGATTTGCGATTATTTCAATCCTAACTCAAACTATTTTAAAACTGGTATTAAAGTTATCGTAATCCTACACGCACTTAATTACACATGTAATTTTATCGCCCAGCTTAGATTTATATAAAGGTTTTCATTCGCAAGTGCACATAAATACATACCCAGCGGAGCAACATACGAGCTATAACGAGAGCTTTTTTCACTGGCATCCGGTATCATTTGCGAGTATTTGGTCCGCTGGGTATACTTACAGTCATATGATTGTGACAAATAATATGAACGAAAACCAGCAAACAAATCAAAAAATAACAAATTTCGTAGAAAAAGCTGTAAAAGTTTTAAAACATAGCAGGTGCATGCGCTAAACTTTGTTGACGATTTTCGTTACTCCGGCTCACTGTGTTGCGGCTAGTGGAAAAGTAACTTTTTTCCGATTATTTTTTTCAGTGTTTTTAATGATGCAATTTTGTCACAGACATTCCAAGTAAACAAAAAACACATAAAGCTTATTTTTATGTTGGCCCGTTGATTTTTAATTGATTTTAGAAGTCAAATATACAAAATTTTCACGAAAAGAGGGGATTTCAGGGCTCTATTCAAAATGATCTCATTTGATTTTGGTGACAGATATTTTGATTCGGAAAAAAAATCTGCCTTCGGACAAGTATCTTCTGTAAAAAAAAGGAATGTTGTTTGAGACATTTTCATATGCACCTTTTTTAGAGCGAAAACCCGACTAAAGGTCCATTTTTCCTTTAAATTTGGGTTAGGTAAGCAATATCTAAAAAGTCCCAGAGAGTCCCAGTTCCAAACCACTACAGAAATGTTACATAATTTGTTTTCAACGAACTGTGAAAAAATCAGCTGCCCATACCTGCCCTCCTGGGAGTTATAGCGATTTTAGTATATCACTCTCAGTATTTATTTCATAGAAATAGAACGGAGATTCTCGGAATCACTTATTGAATAATTTAATCATATTGGGTTTCGAGTGACTTTCCGTCATCCCACGTCAAATTTTTATTATTTTCAGACCGGTTTCGGCTAATCGCCATCTTCAGTGTTTTCTTTTTTGTCACTAATTAGTCCGCATGTGTGTCCGTCTTTATATAGTGTTTTCTTTTAGCTTGTGGTGGTACCTTTCTCTCTCTCTGTTGTTTTACTATTTTATTCTCTCTCTTTCGCTCTCTCTCTCTCCCCCTTTGTTTTTACGTCTAGGTAGGTGGGTGAAATAATCCGTTATTGCGCGCTTATTTGTATTGTTTTTATTGTGTGGTTTCCCTTCATTTACTACATTCAATTGCTTTCTGATGCGTTTTTCATATAAGTGTTTTAATGGTTCGAATATTACATCAGAATATATAATTATAATTTTGACAGTCAAGAATTATGGAATAAATTAAAATTTCCTATCAGGAACTGCATGAGTTGATGAAACAGAGTAAAACTAGAAACGTGGAGGATGTTTTGGAATTGCTTATCTGCTCGCCAATTCTGATCCCGCAATCAACAGTAGGAGAATACTGAAGGAGAAGAAACACCTGGAATTATCAGAGGAAGCAATGAACTTATTGGTAGATGACTGATAATTTGTAATTTTTCTGTAGAATGCAATAAAATATGCCTGTGTTATAAAATAGTATCTTCAAATTTTTTTTTTATTCTACATCTATTATAGCACTCCACAAAAATGAGCATAACTCTCTTAAAACTGAAGCTATTGACTTCAAACCGGTATCAAATTAAAGCTTTTATTGCCACCTTTCAAATAAGAAATGAAATAGATTTTGGTTTTATATAAAATTTCAGAGTTTTTCAACAAATATCGAAAAATCATGAAAATTTGACGTTTATAATTCTTGTTCGGACCGCCCTATAGTTTATTTAAAAAACTAATCATAGGGTATTTATCAGAAATAAAAGAACAATTAAAATAAATTTTTTTTTGTAAATTTTTCGAACAATTTTTTTTTTTTTTGACTTTTGTTGAAAATTTGACCCAACAATTTTTTTCGGTGTAAATGTTTTTTTCACTCATTCTGTTTGGGATTTCATTCTGACCAATTTGTAGAAGTTTCTCATCGATACAATTAAAATTACAGTTTAGGCAATATGATTTCCAAAAAATTCCGGTTTCGCAACACTGTGCGGCTTGTGGAAAACATCAGATTATATCTGCGTTCGTATGGAATAGTAGCTTATGTCGAAAGGCTGGCTTTAGTATAATGCGGCATTCGCAGCATACGATTACGGATGACTTACTGGCGCCGAGCCGTTGTAGAACTTTTGGCAAATAAATGTGCAAGAAATAGTTCCGATACTAGCAAGAGAATATTCTCATTAAGTCTTATCAAAAAATTCCTTGTTAATAAAAGAATTAAGGGAATGCCGCATTATACTAAAGCCAGCTTGCCGACATAAGCTACTTTTCCGTACGAACACAGATATACTTCCCGTTATCCTTGAGCTGTTTGCTTCATAGTAAAAAAATATGACCGCGCTCGAGAATGTCTAGGTAATATTTTTTTTTTGTAAATTTGCGACCTTTCCAAACCCTTGCGTCACGCTCAAATCGTCATTCATTGAAATGCAAACTTTTCAGCATGTAATTATTATATTGTAATATTCTCAGTATCTAACACTGAAATATAACCTGTGGTTGTTGTGTTAGACTACTTTAATAAATAAATAAATACAAAATAATTAACCCACAATTTCTTACATCTGACGCGCTCGAGTAAATCCAGCTATAAATTTTTTTTACTATTCTGATCAGCTGCCCTATGCGCGCGGCTCTACACTAGAGTAATCAAATTTTTGTATGGGAAAACAAATTTCATCCTATTAAACGTGGCACCCCCTTAGTTTCCCCTTTTGATATTTGTAATATCTATACCATGTTTCAGTTTTCTACTGCAATCAACACAGGGCGCTCAATAACGTTGAAATGCGCTACTGGAACGCTGTGAAACTGGCAAAAAATATTGGTGATTTTTATAAAAAGCTACTGTTGCCATGGCAACTGAAGCTTGTGATATTTTAATAGATAATTTAATTTTGAAATGTTCTTAGGTTACTTAACCAATTGTTTGATTAATATATGTACACAATAGCTCTAGAGTAAAATATGAGCATCCTCTAAATGGATACTTAGAAACGTAAGGTTTGTACCAGCACCTCTTTTGGCAAGAGGAAAAATTTTGGAACGTGCCCCAAACCCTACCTGGAAAACATTTTTTGGACCACTCCACCCTACACAGGCTTAGATTTGGTAGAGGTACCCAACAGGATGCAGGGTATCCCCCATTTGTTAATCTGACGCGCTCGAGTAAATCCCCAAATCACCTCCTATTAGGGCGTTTATAAATTAGAGTGACGATATTTATGTATGTATGTATGTGTGTATACCCAGCAAACACAGTTTCAAACGTTTGAGAAATTTTTATTTATCAAGTTGATATCAAATTTTTTTCTCAAATGATTCTCAAATTGAAAACTGGGTTTGCATCTTACATTTGAAATTCATTTCAGATTGATTTGAAGGAACATGGCAAGTGTCAAACGATATAAACGTGCGCAGTTAAATAAAAAATTTTAATAAAATAAAATTCAATTTAAAAGAACAAACAATCAATAGAAAAAAATATTCAAAGAGAAGGCCCACAAATATTTGATTTGATGTATGCGTGGAGAGAGGAAGCTGCAGCCCTTTAAGATGAATTTATTGAACATTACTTTATCATAATTGTTTCTTTCTGTTATGTATGTACATCGCGAAGAAAAAATAAATATGAAATATACATTTCCTATAATAAATTTTATTTCTACATTTGAAGTGCAATTGATAAATTACCTTTAAAATTGATTTAAGAGTCAACCATATTCTCAAATGGAGATCAAATTCCCCTTTTTATTGAGAAAGCTGTAATTTTCTTGTAATTTGGGCAAAGGCTTTGATTTCAGATCATTCTCAAATGTATGTATATCAAACCTAATTGTTTGCTGGGTATGTATATCGATCGCATAAAATCGATCTCAAATCTGTACATGCGCTGTAGAAATTTTAGGTCCATGTTATGTCTATGTTGTATTGCATGCGCTCTACGTTTCAATCTTATAAATTGTTGATGATGTAATGTTCTTAGAAGATATCTTTTAAGACCTGACCTGATAAATGCTAAGCACTGTTAAAACTAACAGGTTTAGCAAAAATAATACCGGAATAAATGGTTTCGATTTTAAGGACGAAAAACTAGAATTTTTTTTTAATCGCTGTTTTTCCTAACTTTAACCTCAATGAGTCACGTGTTATCAGAATGGGCTGAAACTTTTTCCTGCTGTCACATTTTAGGGGGGTGCCTCGATGGAAAATCCAAAATAAATATCTTATAAATACCCTAATTTGTGTACATATGTACATATCTGTGGACATTTAACTAAACACTTTAAGTCTGTCTTTCACGGACATACAAAAGAGCATATTTCGACAAAACATATTTTACCGTCAAAGAGAAAAACGTTGCAATTCGAAAGGAATGTTAAAGCCATGCACAAGCTTTAAAAATGTTTCTGTTTGCAACTACTGCATGCTTTAATTTAAATAAAATTTATTGCTCTGACGTTAAAAAGATCTTTGCGCCGTCATATGCTATCTTCTTTGTCCGTGAAAGATAGACTTAAGTTGTTTTGTAAAATGACCACAGATATGTACAAAGCGTTGTATAAGTTTGCGTACCTCTTTCGCTTTTAGTATACTGTTGTCCCTTTGCAGAAGGTGTATTCGCAGGGTTATGGGTAATGGCTACTGCGAAAAGTATCCAAGGGAAACGATATGTTTTTTATGTTTGTATGCTGTGCTAACTCAATAACAGCACACCAAACCTCAAAACTTCGCAAACATCTAAAATTCACTGACCAGTGCTCGCAAGAATACAATCAACTGAATACCAAAGTCTCGAGCAATTCACTTTAATACTGCGTTGTGCATGCAGCAGTTTTACTTTAGGCCTCCCACGCAAATGTTGCTCAGTCCTCCAACACAGCGTTTCCATAATAACATCTGACGTTGAAATGAATGTACCGTTAAGCAACGGCTTCTTATTTCTCTTCTACTTTTACTAGAACTCACTGTAGAACAAAACGAAGCAAAGGATGTTTAGTGGTGGAACACCATGGCGTAGTATAGACATTATGCTTTAGACTTGAGAACATGTCCAAACCAACCTGTCGGACACAGAAAACTTCAACTTAACAGAACTCGGAATTTCTATATCTACAACTATGTACATATTCAAAACTACTTGCGTCTTTTGCTTCTACCTATGTATATCACCAAGCCATAAGTAAAGGCAAAATCAGTTGATGTCGCATCAGTAACTCCAACCCATCCGATGACGAAATACAGGCATGCATGTATATGCATGCATACATGCAAAAACATACATATGTATGTATGTGATATATATGTCTGTATTCATGTGCACACTTAGCGTCCACCCCACACTATTATTTCGAACGGACACTTGCAAAGGCACGAAATGGCCTGGTAGGGCACTACCCGCCTCAAAATCAATGAACATGGATTGAGGAAGCGAGAATGACGATTTCCGCAGTATGCTAAGCACAACAATAGTAGCAACAATACAGGGACAACTATGTAAGCGTTGAGAAAAACTCGCAATTCCTTTTGGTCAGCTAGACGTTACCGTTAACGTACTTGTCGTTTAGCTAAAGCTAAAGGTGGGGGTACCACCTGAATGCCGGGGCAATATGAACCGCCAGCAAGACGCAATGTCTTTTTCTGTCGTTCTTAAAAACCACGCTACTCCGCATCTCTCCAAATTAGAACACAATCTCCACAACATTCGACTACTGCTACTACTTCTATCCACATTACCTTCGGCGTAACCGTCGCCACCGTCTTTACTTTTGTTGTCGCTATTCCCGTCACCGTCGTCAAGCTAAAATTACTAAAGGTCCTTCCTTTGCCCGTCCGTTCTTTACTCATCTATTTTCTCCATTTACACAAACTCTACTACTCAGCATAACGATTCAGCCCATTTACTCATCCGTTCACAGATCCACCGCCCGTATTCTAACCATACTACTATTTGTCCACCTGACCCCAAAGGCATTTCGATCGATAATTTCCATAGCTGACCATTGCTGCTGTGTCTGTGAATTTTCAAATGGACATTTGCCCATGTTCATTTGCCACAAGTCCACATGAAACGACTTACACACGTGTATGTAAACACACATACTTGAACTCGTCGCTCTAACGAACTGCCCCAGCTTCACGAAGGAGTGCCATAAAGACTTGCATGAAGATGAAACGAAGACCAAGGAAAGCAACTCCAGACCATCATTGGGAAATGTTGTTTGCATACGACTTGCGATATATGGAGAAGGATAACAAGCGATTGTAACGTCGGCAGAGAAGTCGGTAGTTGCTATCGTTGCCATGGCATAAGTGCATAGCTGATACGATGGCAACGCCGACGTTGGGCATTACTCCAGCGTTCTAACTTTGATTCCAGCTCAGTCTTCGGCAATAACAGTGGCGATGGCAAAATGGCATACATACATTCGTGCATACGTATATACATAAGTATATATAAATGTACATACGCATACATATGTATGTGCTACTTAAAAAAGTACATATTTATGTTTGTACAAAATGAATGTACATACCTACATACATATGTATGTTCGTTCATAACTCCATATACATACACACATACATACAAATATATATGGTTGTGGTTCATGTTGCTGATGAGGTGAGCGGCGTGTGACGCACATGGCGTTACGGCCGGTTTTGGACTTATTGTTTAGGTTAGGGAAAGAGAAAGTCCGCGGAAGGGAAGTAATGGCGATTGTGAAATTTCGCATTTTAGAGCAGTTGAGATATCAGCAATTCTCTGGACCATATGAAAGTGAATATGTATGCACATACACTTACATACATACATATGAATATAAATCCATATGCTAATGTGTCCATATAATGTATGTATATATACTTCTATGTGTGTCCATGTGTACATTATAAGTTACGAGAATGTATAAGAAGCTTGATTATTCGGGCGCAATTTTAGTTCTGGTATATGTTTTTCGAGTAAAAGGGATGTTTTATGTAAATATACAAAATTTTGCTATTTATGCACTCACATTTAAACTGACCAACATAGTTGAACTACTTCGGATACCTGTAACAAGATGCGTGTGTATTACGAATATATGTATGTATATAGGACCATATATACATATGTACATATGTATGTACATACATATATCCATACATAAATACTAAATCAGAATGATGATAGGAGCATTCCATCGTTGGCCAAATCGTAAGAATCTTTTAAGTTACGGTTCTAATTAAAGGTAAAGTAAAAAGTTGTAAAACAAAGTATATACTACATTGCGTTTGTATGGTAAGGTACTTACCAAAACTAGACACTCATTTTAAATATATACATATGGACATACATACATATATCCGAAAAATCAAAAATAAATTGCTTTTTTGTACAGAACAGCTCTAGTCTACCATGAAACTTAGTTACTGTGTCTTATTTTAAATCTCAGCGAAGTTAATGATAATTATAAAAAAATAAAAATAAAACAACTTTTGTAGCAATAAAACGAACTTTAAAACAAAACAAGTTTTTAAAATACATTTCTTTCCAAAAAATTTTTAACATTAAAATGAAATTGTATGTGCGCGACACGCTTGGTTGTATGTAGGTACGGGACTCGTTAGAATATCAGTGTAATAAACAGGGCTGAAGAAAATAAGCAAGAAATAAATAAAATAAAAAAAAATTTTAATATACAACGCTTTTATAAATGGACTAAAAAGTAGAAAATAATATTTCTCAGTCCCACAGAATTTGTTTTGATAACTTTTGATTTTGAAATTTTAGCAAAAGTCATTATAAAAAATAATGGCATTGAAAACGAAAAACGAGGAGCGCATGCAATAGTCAAACTACATAACATTCTACAGCGAAAGTACAAATTTGAGATCGATTTTAAGCGGTCGTTATTCATATGCCCACATACATACATAAGTTACTTTTCATATCAATTAAAGTGTATTACATGCGGCCCACGCTTTTCATTTTCAATGTCATTAATTGTTTATAACGACTTTTGCTAAAATTTCAAAATCAAAAGTTATCAAAACAAATTCTGTGGGACTGAGAAATATTATTTTCTAATTTTTAGTCCATTTATAAAAGCGTTGTATATTAGAAAGTTTTTTTTTTATTTATTTTATTTATTTTCTACTTTTTAGTCTTGTCTGTACAAAATTTTGCAATAGATATTAAAATAATTCAACTTGCAGTGAAAGAGAACAGAAGACTGTGCAAGCACAATGTTGTTTGCTCACATTTAGTATAAACACGCATATGTACATACATACATACATATAGCAGCAATTTATTTCATTTAAAGAAATAGCGTGTCGTCCATTTCCGCTGTGACGTGTATAAATAGTGCATATATTTAGGCGCTATATTTAACTTCTTCTGACGGGGCGACATCTAGAGTCTTCTAATTGTATCTCCTTCATATGATGCCTACAATGAGGTTGATATCTAGACTAGGTTGATATCTAGAATTGAATTGTTAATGGGAAAGTGAATAGGGAAAGTTTTGCTACCTTTTATACGTGACATGTTTTAAAAGAGTATATATATTACGCAAATACCTCACATAATTACCCATTTAAATTGGTTTTTGTATCTAAATCCCGTTAAACTAATCACATTTTCTTGCCAGCTTCCAACAGGGTTGCTTAAGTAGCTAAAAGGAAATTTTACCCGAGTTGAGCACTATTTTGTCGCTCGCTTACAAAAAATCCAGCTAGTATAAATGGTGGTCTAGACATACAACATTCAAAGCGGTCTGGACATACAACATTGCAAGTTGATAAAAGCGTAGTAAAATAATAATATATCTCAGTCCCATAGAATTTGTTTTGATTACTTTTGATTTTGAAATTTAGCAAAAGTCATTATAAACAATTTATGAGATTAGATTAATTTACAATATTATTAGATTTAATTGACAATATTCAAACTACATACATAACATAGACTAGGGCTGCCAGATATCTCTGTTGCCAAACCGGAACACTTTAGGGAGGGCCTCTCGCTCCCTTCTCTTTCATTTCGACGTGCGAAAGGATGTAGTAAACTTTTATTTTGACAGACAAAAATAAAAACATAAAAACATGAGATCATGAGATCATTGCAACGTACGCCAACAAAACAAAACAACTTATCACAACTAAAGCACAGAGAATTTTTCACAATGCATGAACCTTTTTTTAATCTTTATAAAAATACAGTTTATACTAAATATATGAAAAAACATAAAAATAAAATTGTTAAACTTTGTGCTAATCTCGGGAAAATTCAATAAATTTGCATACAAATTTGCAACATTCTAATCAGACTTTTTATAAAAATGTTTAAAATGAAGTTTTGCAGCTCATTAAATTTTAGCTGATTTTTGGTATTGTTTCTACTGAAAGTTTCTTTTATACAAACTATGTTCGATAATTCTTTTTATATGGAAGACACTGTCAGCAAAAACAATAAATGCTAAAAATCAACGAAAGTTGCTGGCAACTTCAGACTTGCACTTTATTAATTGGCTCAAAAGCTAAATTTTCAAAATTTTTCTAAAAGATCTGATTAGAAATTGTAATCTGATGAAAGAGCCTCCGAGCCATTAATTTTGTACGGCACTGTACTTATAAGTACTCTAGGTTTCATGAAAGAAAAAAGTTTAAGTACAAGATAACATTAAAATATCAGCCATATTTTTCGTTGCTGTGAACAAGTTTCAAAACTTCTGTCTTTTCCTTAATATAATTGTAAAACTCTGTGCACGTCATTTTGAACGNTAA